CTGCTATGTCTGGTGCGCCCCCTAAATGTGTTGCTAGTACATTACACTTGGAATAGATTATAACAGAGTAAAAATATTTTCTACGAACCAAACGGGAGTGTTGCATTACACGTTTAATGTGTGGGGGGTTGCTTCGGCATTGATCGTAAGGGCTAGGATCAGCATTGGTTGCCATGAGTGATCGTTTGCTTTTAGCATCGGGTATGTCTGCATGAGACCACCGTGAAGCCGTCGATATTCGGCAGAGAAGATGCCGAGTAAATAAAGGCGCGGTTCTTAATTAAGATCAACTAGTCCACCTGTTGAATTAGGGCTCTTCTTTGAGACTGCTGTACAGGACAACTTTTTCTTTTCAAGCATGGATATTAGGCCTGAGCCGCCTACTCAACGTGTGGAATCGCGTTAATCAGCTGGAGTACTAGCTTTTGCTCAAGGAGCTAGCCTCAAAAGCCTTGTTTAAGTTCGCCAAATTTGTTACTCTCGAACATTGCAGAGCATTTCTCGGAACTTAATGGTATTATCCAAGTTACTTTCACTAGATACGTGTTGCAGTACGTACTTTTTCCATTGATGTATTGTCTAAATTGTTGCTCATCGTTATTGGGAGAACATTTGCTGGGTACAGTGGAAGCTAGTTCATATCTGCTTGTTTGTAAACACAGCCCAGTTTGTTCTCGAGATAAATACCGTCAGATGTTGAGCAAATTACTCTCCAGATTTTGGCATCATCTTCAAATATTTGCATTCGCGGACGAATAATTTTGGCTTGGAATGAAGATGCACAGACTTTCGGAGTAAGTGCCGGTGATTCCTACCTTGGTTTTTCTGTGATGTAAGTAGCCATCCAACCAGGTGGGAAGGAACTGGTGATAACGTAGACATCAAGATTTCGGAGAAGAACTAAGTGATAGATATTCTGCAGTACTTTGCACGGTATCGGCTTGCAAAACATCCTTGGCAGGACTTTACTTGACGTCATAAGCCTATGGTACCAAGACTAAGGCTAATCTCTGAAATATAGCTTAAGACTACAAAGATATGGCAGGGCCAGGCGCCTCTTTACAACATATGTCTTAGCTCACTTCCTTGGTCTGCTAATAACCATGTTCCACTTCCGGTGTTTCTGTCTTCTGACACCGAAATCCTCCACTTCGGATACAGTTCGATTGATCGGAATGGCAGAGGCTGACTTCACAGTCAAGCGATGTCACGAGTTACCTACTTACTGTGATTGTGTATTATTGGCGGCCGGTTAGGCAATGACGAATAGTGAAACTAAGTCCCAACTTTCAGACCTCATCAGAAAACAAATCGACTTTATCAGATGGTGGCATGGGGGAATGCACTTCATGACTGCATAAAATTATTCCTCACCATATCACACAGAATATTCCGACAAGCACTGAACGCTGAACAAAAAAGAACTGGAAGACTTACAACCATCTGTTCAAATTTGGATACGTAAACCCCAGTGTACAGATTATGGTTGGCGGCATCCGGTTTCGGATTTTCCTGTCACTGTGACCAGCCACAGGACGCCTGCGCCTACAGAGGGACCATGAATGGCTTGCGCTGCACCACCGACAACTCTATCCACACACCCCATCTCCAGTGTAAACCCGAAGGAATAAGACCGGGAGGCATGTGGATGGGAGCCACGTTTCATCAACGGAGCCGGCCCACAGCTTCACAGGCAAACACAAGCATGCTGTATTTGGGAATCAAGCGTACACAAGACGGGTGGCTGGACCGCTGTTCGCTCCACACTGAGTGTATGGAACCACTCTTCGAGCCTAACACGGCCACAAGGACCGTGCACCCCGTCCCCTCCAGCAACGACCAACCGTCTCCTGGAGCCAGTATGGACGAGGTAGTGGGTAATAGACAGGTAGGCACCTTGTCAACATGCACATCAAGCGCAGCCACACCGGGGATATCAAGCAACAGCCAATCACTTGAAACTACACTATCAAATAAAATAAACCGGAGAATGCATACAGATATTCCGACATAGCTCCTTCATAAATAAGCCGATGAAATAAATTGGTTGCCAAAATATCCGCTACAGTTTCAAGACGTCAGAAAATATATTTTAAGAAAATGCCACAAACGCGAAAATGTTATCAAAGTTAACTACAATTAACTTCAGTGAGGTTTGCAAGTTAATAGATATTTCCCGTAGGCAATAATGAGAGAATATAGCAAAGTCACCACCTGAAATAAACAGACTTAGCATGGAAGCACGCGGTTAGTAACTCTAATGCAGCGTACCTACAAACGCTGCGCCGCTTCTGCCTGCGTTCTCTGCAGCACCCGTCGTCGCTTCGGTGTTGGCACCGAGTGGCCTCGCTCATGGCTCACTAGGCCTGCCTGACTCAGGCACTCGCGACCGCATGTGCTACAGCACCACGCGCTCGATGTCGATGGAATACAACCCATTCTAAGCTTGCCGCTTCCGCACTTGCCACTTCTTCTCTGCATGTATGATGTCTTCCTCCCGCACTTCGGCAACTGCCTTCGTGAGCAGATCGCCCCATGCACACCGATCAACCGCCTTCGATTCCCATGACCTGCAATCAAGATTAGAACCTGAGAGCCTCACTTTGACCATGTTCTGGTAACGAAGCTTCGGTTTCCTCACGTGGCGCTTCCCAATACTCAGCTGACCATAACGTATGCTTCCGTATCTGCGTCGACTCCGTACGTTTCGCATGACCAACCCACCTCAGGTGTCTCACTAAATGCATGCAGTCCACTGCATACATTCCACTTCGGATCAACACTTCAGTGTCCGCAACTCTGTCGCACCAACCGATGCGCAGAATCCGTCGCAAACATTGTTGTTGGAACCGCTCAAAATATCGCACATCCGGCCGGTATATCGTCCAGGTTTCACTGTCGTATAGAAGAACGGACAGCACCATGGATTTGTACACCATTAGCTTCGTGCCAACGGCAAGCTGATGGTTGTTCCACACTCGATACTCAAGCTTCCCGAATGATGCCGCTGCCTTCGACACGCGAATACGCAACTCACTGTGAAGCTGCTGGTCAGTCAACATCACACTCCCAAGGTAGCAGAAGCGGGAGGTGGTTTCTAATACTTTAGCACCAATGCTGATTTGCGGCAACATTGCAGATTGCACCTCCGGGGAAAGCATGCACTAATATAGTAATATACTAGTACACTAGTATAGTATATTACAGCTTATAGCAGGGTTTAAATCGCTAGATAGGTTTTACAAGCTTGTCAAAAAAGCAAAATAATTGTTGGAGAACTTTAATCATTCATTCGCTAGTCCATAATAGTATGCAAGTACCACGACATTCCACTCAAAAAATTTGGAAGCGGGAGTGAAAATTCAACGTATAAGTTAAGGAATCTTGGATAAAATTGTTTGTAAGGAATGTTTTTATTATCCGTGTGTGTCGTTGTTACCATCCTACACGGCCTTTTACTTCCTGACCCGAAACCGCAACTACATTCACGTAATCCGCGTCTATCCATGTCCAAATTTTGTCCACATTTTGGAGTTGCTCATTCGCACACTTCCATCCCACAACTTGACAGCTTAGACATTTCTTCCTCACTTTCAATTAATACCTTTATGAGTTGGTCATGCCTTCACATCTGTACATGCGAATCTTTCCTAAAGTGCGATGCATGCGGATTGGTCGTTTTGTCTGTCCACGCCTTCGCCTTACAAATTATGCCCGACTGTCTTATTCCAGTTGGGTTTATTGCGCAGTCGCACTTTTTGCCTGTTGCCACTGCTCGGCTCCACTTGGCGACAGACTGTAGATTGAATCACGCAATGGTACTGTATTTTGTAGTCGTGATAATGTTTAGGTTTGTCTCAGAATTACCCTTCTAACCATGTGTGGAATATAATCCACTCCTCATCCGGCTTCGATTTTTAGATCCACTTGTGCGTTCTACGAGCTGCACAAGTCAACGAGGTGATTCGTACTTTTGAGTGTAGCACAACCAAAGTATTCTTAAGAAATGCCGCTAGCTAAGCCAGTAAACTCGAAGGTGCAGATCAGCTAGTAAGCAAGTAAGTTCGGAGTAAGTCGCAGTAGAATCCATAGAACATTACCAGAGATAACCAAAAGGCTGTTTAAGCTTGACGGTAAGAGGACTGACGACGACAGTTAATCATACTTCGAGTAGACACGGCACAACATTCCCTCAGTTTTAAACCATTCTCAGTAGCCATGATTTGCCACAGCATACACGAAAAGCAGACACTGGTGTGCACATAACACCTATTGTAGGGTTCACTGAGATTTTCAAGTCACTAAACCTTCCCATTCTTTTTAGCCCACTGTGCCAGATACTGTCAACTTCACAATCTGCTTAAGCCAACAGCTTGATGCCCCAGTTACATTTCCAATCATGGCACTGTAACATACAGTGAACGTTGAAATCGTCACTGATGGCCAACAGGGAAAAATAATATCAGCATTACGCCAGCACGCAGAACCGACTCTTTGCTGCATCTCGACCACCAACAGTCGCTAATGGACTGGGTAAAACGCCAGGCCGCCCGTACCCACGCGGATTTGAACCGCGAGGTACCACGCCGTGTATGTTGACCATGTGAATTCAAAGGATGCTCTCGAACCAGTTTGTAAAACAAGGGGGTTCGTCTGTTTCGGAATATTCATGTAGATAGGCGGCTTATGCTCTACAGACTAACCGTAACATTTTCGACAGTTACTTGTAGAACATCGATATGTGATCGAGTGAGGTTGACCGATTGTCGGCTCCCTGAAGACGATTATTTATAAAGACACACTGATGAACATAATCCCGTTACCATCATTACAACGGCGCACAGATATCATCTCTGAACATAATTCCTACAGAGCCTTGCAATGAATGTTTACGCCAGTTTGACATAATTGTGATTCTGTAAAGCTTAGGGTCGGACACATTCAGTCGTGATTGAATTTTCGTCTATCCTTTCTGCCGATTTTCATTCCCTTTTGTCTAGTCTGTCTTCGTCCTCAGCGTCGTGGTGTACGAAGAGCTCACCTACGAACGCGCTGCCAAAACAGTCGTCTACAAATACCCCGACTGGGCGGTGGTAGTCGGATGGCTGATAGCCAGTTGTAGTGTTTTCATGATTCCCATCGTTATGGTGATTCAAATTCTGCGCACACCGGGATCGTTGTTTGAGGTACGTGTTTTGTTTACCACCACATTCTTTTTTGTATTCGTAGCTGCGCAAAAGAAATGTGTATGTGAAGCGATGACATGGAATGAACAAGCTAATATGACCTAGTAATGACGAAGACAAGCGCATTGTGGAGATTCCATGAACACCACGTATTTATTCGGAGTATTTGACACGTTGTTTGTCAGTTACTGTCTCATGGAACGTAGAGGATTCATGCACATCAGATGTGTGCAACGCGATGTTAGTGGCGTGGATCAGTGGAGCTCTGATCACTAATCTCATTTCCACACTGTCATTCCAAGCGTTGATTTCACAAAGATCACCATGGATAAATACCAAAGCGCAAACATTTAGGTTGTATTCGTGATTACAGTATCATGTCTGCCTGGGAGAGAATGCCATTTACCAGCAGGTTTAACACACTGACTAACAAAGCAGAAATCCTTTAGGAGCTCAAACGTTTGGTCAAGAGATGAACCATACGTAAGTCAACTCGTCAGTCAAATCGGTATAAAATATATATACCCAAATGGGTGCATTTGCAGCATTTTACATTATCATCTATAAAGTTACCAAATGGTTAACATTAAAAATGCTAAGTTTAAAAATGGGTAGAAATATAAGGATGCACTATCATAACCCGATCGAGCAAAGATCCCAAAATGCTGAACTAAGTCTTCGAAATGTGTATTCATTCAAAATGGAAAAGATTTCATTAAAGTGTTTTTCCAGAATTGGTTTCAATTGACGTAGCATTTTGTGTCCAAAGAGGATAGATCGGAGATCGTGCGCGATATCTCGTGTTGTTCAAAGCTGGGTAGAGTAGAGGGTCTCAGTGACCTTGGAAGTTGATTAAACAAAATATCTGTCCGTGTAACCTTGCAAAAGTGAGTTATGTACAGTAGATGATGTAAAAAATGCTGTTCGGCGAAAAAAGTCAACGGCCGATTTACAGCCTCCGCTATTGAGTGTGATATTATGCACTGAACCTGCTGCAGTAGAATAAATAATGTAAATAGTGAGCCGGAGATTCCCAAAGATTAAACATAGGCTACAACTTAGTAAAACAATATAATACACCCTGCAGCGCTTAATGAAAAAAGTTGAAGATAAAATACGCAATCTACAGTTTCCTGTGTTCGTACAACACAATATTGGGAAGCGGCAGGCGGGAATACAATCATCGATGCATATATTTTTGTGCAATGTTAATATCTGCATGGAGCTGAAACTTGCAAAAATTGTGCTCCGTGGGTAGTTGAACATGACGATGTATCGAGAAGTGTAAGTTAGTCAAAGATGGTACGAAGCGGAAGAAGTGGATAGCGAATTGGTAAGAGTGGCATGAGCATTTGAGGCAGGTTCCGGACTAATTCTGCACAGTTAGCTAGCCAGATGGGTGACATCTGCGGACTCGAGGGAAGGTTGGATCATCACAAAACATGAGCGAGGCAGCTATAAGGAGTACGTAAAGAAACTAACATAAATGCGAACTATATCGGTCCTGTGGCTCCACTTTCAAATTCAGACCAGATGTGCATTAGTCAGTTTGCCTGGAATGTAACCTGAGTGGCCAGCCAGAAAAACTGAGTCAGCTTTTATCCTCATCATGATCAGTAGCATCCTCGTCATCACCATCCTTCTCCTCCTCCGCATCATCATCAGAGTCATCATCCTCATCATAATCATCAACCTTATTAGCCGTCGTAACAAGACTAGACTTTAACGTGCTGCGACGGACTTTGTACCACTTCGACTGTTGGGCCAATATGTGTGGTGCTCCCGGGCCCTTTGAGAGTTACTCTTACCATGCTGGTCTATGGTTAGCGGTCAGAGAAACACAGTCTCCTGATCCTCCATGTTAGGGGTTTGAAATGAAATGGCGACTATTTCTTGAAAAAAAATAAGTCAGTACCACATTTCCGACGTATTCTTACAGGATTTTACACCGCAAGATTTGGTTGAGGACCCTAATCATCCTCCTGCCTTGCTCAGGGCACCCTGGCAATATCTCAACCGACGTACAAACAAAACTGTTTTCTCAGAATTCAATCTTAGCGTGCGCCGTCTGTCGTACAGTTTATCAAAGGTCGTCTTATCTGCTGAATACAGCAGGGCGGATAGACGAAAACTTGCATTGTTATCGCCTCCATTCTTTCTTTTCCACCTGATTCTCTTACTTCCTTTCCAATCCCCATTATTAACCCAATTTCCACAATTCCCAGCTTAGTGAACAGCAGACGTAATGCCACTGGAGTTGAGAAATAGACAGCTACCTACTAGATTACTCACCAGACACTTACCGGCAGCAGACTACTATATGGTCACCCAGTCCCGTTTCCCAGGCGGCGTACAACGTTCGTATCCTAAGACGAACAGGTCAACGGGCTGCACTCGCACGCACGTCGAACACACTTGGCATTGAGGTGTGTGGAGTACCCGCAATTATTTACCAATGTTAAACCCCTGTAACGATTGTAGAACAATTCAAGGCCTATTCGCAAGAGCTCAAACATTTGTGCTAGATCAAGTGCTCAGCAAGGGGGAACACATAAGTGATGTGTTAAATAACTACTATCAGGATCCTAGTGATCATACGCTCAACTGTTTCAACTTAATTTACTGTGGTATATCGAGATGAGAACATTGTGAAGGTGGGCACCATTGCACACTCAGCTTGTCAGGACTGCAACCATTTCGGTTCTCGCCGAAAAACTCCCGGAGATCGCCTGGCTGAAATTCGTCACAAGGTTCAGTAGACTGATCTAAGTCAACTCAATCCAATTCAAGCAGGCGATTTTATTTACCCATGACAGGGGAATTTTACACTGCGATACACATGCTAACGTGGTGATGTAAAAGCAATACAAAACTTGGAGCATAGGCACAAATAAGCTCAAATAAGAACCACTTGACTGACGAAATTTTTCAGTCAGTTCTTGGCTACTTGACTTTGGTCCAGTAGAAATCCGAGCAAAGAGGAAATGAATGACTATGCATAAGGCCTCATGCGGGATACGGGACACATACCAGACGAGTGCACTGTGAAAATGGTAAATAATGTCGGTATCCTCGAGGCAAGTTTAGTGCATTAAACAGCGTACGTAGTGCCGCAGAATTCGGTCCATCATGGAAAACGGTTTATTCGGCAAGGTTAGCTCAACAGAAATAACACCATGACAAGCATATAGGAACCTCGATGTAAATAACTAAGTCATTTCCATAACTAACGACGCTGCTGAACTTATAAGACTATACCTTTGAAGCAGCTAAACAGACCCGCTCCGGTGAACCGAGCAGCGCGTAGACGATATATGCGCAGGCGTCCAATCAACTGATCTGTTCGTTTGCGGCAATCTAACAGCTTGCTTGCACAATCCTGTTACATCCTTCCCTTTTTCAGAATCATTTGCCTCCGTGTCGCAGAATACTGCGTTCACATTTCCGCTCCACGTGCTCTTTGTTGCCTCTATCGTCTTGACCACTCCCTAAGGCGTCAATTGCTTTGCTGTAGGTTCACCTTCTCGTTCGCTGTGTCGCCTGAGTTGCACTCGGTCCCTTCTGATTACATTCGCTCTGGTACTGACTACATAAGATCTTTATCAAACATTCGCGGTCACCACACCTTTCTTCCATCGTTTACTGACACCCGGTATTGGTTGGATCCACACTTCATCATTTACTGATAACTCCGTTAGAGCTCGGGTCCCGAGGTTGTAATACTGTTTCTGATCTGCCTCCCGTTTCTCCAATATCATTTGCAGTTGCTCATGCGATGGCGAGACAGGGTGTAAGAGTTCAGCAGACGCAGGCATTACGGTTCTTGTCCTTCTGCTGTACAAACGTTGCACTGGACTGAGACCGATGTTCGGTAATGGCGTATTGCGGATCTCCAACAACACCAGATTCAGGTCATCATGGCTGGCTCTGGCTTTCGACAACAGCATCTTGGATTGTTTGACCACTGCCTTTTCTTTTCCGTTAGACTGGATGTGGTGCGGGCTCTTTTGTGGGTGCGAAAATTCCCACTTGTTCGCGGTCTGAAACGTTGCAATTGTAAACTACGAGCTATTGGCAGAGATCAGTTCCTTCGGTATTCCGTGCCTGACGAACTTACACCTAAGTTCGTTAATGACTGTTTTCTTAGTGGTAGCAGTGAGTGAATCGATCTCAAAATAGTCACTGTGATAGCCCATAGTGATTAAATAATCTTCCCCGTTGTCACAGAACAAGTCCACCGCCACGTTCTGCCATAGTCGATCTGGAATCTGACGCGGTATCATTGGTTCCCTGACTTGGCCACCCTCGTGGGACCGGCAGGCTGAACAGCATGATACATGGTCTCGGATTTGAATTGTCATCTCGGGCCAGAAGATCAGTCCGCGTGCTCTAATATTACTGTAGTTGACACCCAAATGGGCTCGATGCGTGCGTGTTGCATTTCTTTGCGAAGCGGCAGTGGGATCAACATGTTATTTCGTTTGAACAGGAAGCCATCATACCCCGTTGAAGAACGGCGTTAATTTCTTCGGAAGTTTATCCTTTGTACCTGGCCATCCCTACAAAATCACCTCGCACAAAACCACGCATGTCGTGTCTGCTGCCGTATGACGCTTTGTCTCTTTCAGGTCATCTGCCGTTACCACCAGATACTGTACAAGATTGACAGCCTTGAGTACTTCCTGTTAATGTTCGACTATCGAAAGAGGAGCTTCTGACAGAGCGTTTGCGATGAACAGTTACGTCCCCGGAGTGTACACCAGATCCATGTCGTATTTTTGGAGCCGGATATGCATCCGTTGAAGACATCGTGTGACACTGTGTAACGGTGTAGTGGCTATTGACACCGGCGGTTTATGGTCAATATACACGGCAGCCTTGCTTCCAAACGTGTAGTCGTTTAATCCCTTCATTGCGTAGACGAGAGGGAGCATCTGCTTTTCGATCTGCGCATAGCGTTGTTCTGCCATTGTGAGCGCTCGACTGCGGAAATCCAAGAG